TAGTCGAGTGGGCCCGTACTCCAATGGGGCATTGGAGGCCCAAAGAAGAGTATGCTAACGAGATGGAGTCTACTATCCATCTAGAGAGTCTTTGCTTCGTAACCGGAAGCCCTTTGTTGCGGTTACCGAAGCTGACAAAGAGTTGTTCCGACCGCCTATAGGGTGGCTCACTTCTGAGCGGCGCAAAGCCGACCTCCATACGTCATTCCCCCGGAACTGCTTCTGTTTACAACAGTGAGTGCAAGCTAGATTCAAGTGATTATTACGTTTTGAATATGGATATTTTTCTTACATTTGTTCACCCCCCCGGAGCCGTGGAGACATTTTTTTTTATGGATGGGCGATTTTTATTTAAGTTCTTTTGGACTGAAGCAATGCAACACCCGCTGAGTGGCATTAAACAGCTTGAAAGATCAAAGAAAATTTTTTAAATAACTCTGACTGGATTCGTCTGAAAGAAGAAAGTCATATACACCTAGGATGCCTCGGGGGTGAGTAAAACGCAGCCTAATTTTAATTTTTGGGTGAACTAACCCTTTAAGAGCCGTTTGTCTTTCCTCGTGCTGTTCTCTACTCTACACACCTGCAGAGGGACGAATGATTGCTGCACACTGAACAAGACCTGAAAACACAATTCAGTTGTTTTGATTTGCCTCAACAGACTAAAACATATTTGTGACCCTGAACCACAAAACCAGTCATAAGAGTCAATTTTTCGAAATTGAGATTTATACATCATCTGAAAGCTGAATAAATATGCTTTCCATTGATGTATGGTTAAGGATAGGATGATATTTGGCCGAGGTACAACTATTTAAAATCTGGAATCTGAGGATGCAAAAAAAATCTAAATATTGAGAAAATCGCCTTTAAAGTTGTCCAAATTAAGTTTTTAGCAATGCATATTACCAATAAAAAAATAAGTTTTACTATATTTACAGTAGGAAATTTACAAAATATCTTCATGGAACATTGAATTATTTACTTAATATCCTAATGATGTTTGGCATAAAAGAAAAATCTATAATTTTGACACATACAATGTATTTTTGGCTATTGCTACAAATATACCCCAGCGACTTAACACTGGTTTTGTGCTCCAGGGTCACATTTAGTTTCCTTACTATTATTTACAAACATTTATTTTAAGTTTAATAAAAATCACTATAAACATGCATAATGAATTCACAATTTAGAACACCATATAATCAGTTGGTTCTGTACTGTATAATTATAATTACATTATAATACATAATACATTACTTATCTATTCATGATTATGTCATTAAATGCTGCTGAATGAAAACACAAGATCTACATGCTATTTATAGCTATGCTGTCTATGTTATATCATGCCTTACAGGCTTCAAAAGTGTAACTGAGAGTAGATGTACATTTATTATAACTGTGGTTAAAAAGAAAAGATATAACACTTTAGAATGCACATTGTAAGGCATTAATAATTAATTTGAATACTTTTATAAT